AAATAGATAAACAACAAGGATCTACTGTATAGCACAGGGAACTATATTCAATAGCTTGTAATAACATATAATGGAAAAGAATCTGAAAAAGTATATATGTGTGTGTGTGCGTATGTGTGCATATATATACACATGCATGTGACATTCACTGAACACATTCAATAACACGGAATGAGGACGCTGCTCAGTTTGAGACAGATACAGGTTTCCTTTTTTAGACAGTGAAAAGGATGACTTTCTTTCTAAGTAACTACTGGAATCCATATTTAATACACAGTACTTGTTATTGTAAATGCCAACACAAATGCAGGCACGAAAGCACACCTGCACATAGATTCCAGCCTTTCTATTTAGTCTCAGTTTAGGTCTAATTTGGGGCCGTGCACGCCTCTGCCAGACTTGCAGGGGGCTCACAGACTGCATCCCTGGGAAGTGCCGTTTGATGCCACCACAGCCTCAGCTTCCCATCCTGTTAGCTCAAGTCCATGAGCTATGGGGTCAAGTCAAAGAGGGAGGCAGAGAGAACTGGGGATGTGGTACCTCTCATCACCAGTCAGAAGAAAAATCATAAATGCAGGAGCATGTGTGAATGGGACAAGTTTCCAGGCCACGGCCTCTCCTGTTTTGGTGTCAGTACCCTCTACGTTAGCCCTGTGGGCCCTTCTCTGGGTAAGGGGTTCGGCTGGAGAGTGGAAGGAACACTACAGTGGGCTGCGAGGCTGCCCGAACATGGATGGGCTCTCATGGGGTCTGCACCCCGAGACAGGCTCCTGAAGGGCAGGGCGACCACTAGCGGGGTGCTTGGCAAGGATGAGGACAGGGCTGGGGTTATGAAGAGCCTCAATCCAGGGGACCATGCCTTACCTTGTTAGTAGTGAAGGAATCCCACACAATCACCTTCCCATCCTGGAGGGAAAAGAGTAAACAGTTCAATAAACTAGTGGTCACCAGTGGGGAAGAGGGAAGGCAGAGGGGAAATACGGTGGTAGGGGATGAAGAGGTACAAACTATGTGTATAAAATAAGCTACGAGGATATCCTGTGCAGCACAGGGAATATAGCTAATATTTTATACTATCACTGGAGGATAACCTTCAAAAATCGTGACTCACTATGTTGTACACCTGTAACTTATATAATATTGTACATCAACTATACTTCAAAGGAAAAAAAAAAAGAAGAAAAGAGTAAACGGTTCAAGAACTGTCCACAAGCCTTTCCACGTAACTGCTGAGACCCGCTCAGAAAGCCACATCCAGCTGGGCACTGCCAAGCGGAAGCCCGGGCAAGCAGCTGGACAATCAAGACCCTTCAACCTACCCTTGAAGAACCTCCCAGCCTGACGCAAGGCTCAGTCCTCAGCCCTGCATCCCTTGTGGAGGTATGACCACAGAAAGCAACGCTCCAACACTTCCTCTGCACCACTTATAAATCAAGCTCAAACTGCTAGTAAACTGTCATCACCACCACACCCCGTCAGTGTCGGTAAGTTAACCAGGTAAGAGAAGCCTGAAATCACTTTCAGATGCCTGACGGTAACTAACACTCTCTGACCTCCTCGCCATCCCCACCAGCCTGTCCTCTCTACCAAGCACCTTTGAGTGCACATTCCCTGCAGGACCGTGCAAGAGCTCCACCCCATTCTGGGCCCTCCATCCTCCCTTCGTGGAAGCCGTGGACGGGGGCTGGGTGGGCCTGAGATCAGTCTGACTTCCCCAGGTGCTCGCAGACATTTCACACCCACCACACCTGAGCTGCTGAGAACAACATGGGACACCTGTGATGGTGGGGACCCCCGGGGGCAGCTGTTCTGGAAACAAAGAGCCCTCCCTGTTGAAGGTGAGCTCTGGGCTGGTGATGCCACAGACAGTGCTGCCACCTTCACTGCAGCCGCTGCTACAGCCGTCACGGAGTAGGGGGTGGGGGGTGCAGGAGGGGCTCCGAGGTCATTTATTTGTAATACAAACCCACCAGAGACAAACCCACATGAGCCCCGGTCCCCACAGTGCAGTCACCTGCCCAGAACGTGGTATGCGGGTTGTCTGGGCCCCTGGGCTCTGGCTGGCAGTGGAGCAGGACGGCTGAGCCAACTTCCTTCAGCACATGGGTCCCCGGAGCATCCTCGGGGATGGTGAGTCTGCAGCCTCTGCGGCAGGCTTGATGTTTTTTATCACTCAAGCCATGTGAAGCCCAGTCTGGTGAGTGAGGTGGATGCCACTGAAGGGCACCAGCAAGGTCTGGGTATCTCAAGTGACAGCTGCTCGCTTCACTTGATCTGATGGAAGATGTCCGTATTGGTGCTGCGTGAGGCTGAGAGGCTAAGATCAAGGTCAAAGCCGGCAGCTTGGGGCCTTTCAAAACTCCTAAGCACATTGGTTCTTCCAGTCTAATCTCTCTGACTAAACGCCCAAACGTGATCGTGATGTGTGGGTGGATTAGGTAACAGCGCAGAGCAGAGAGCAGGGGCTGAGTGTGGCGGCGGGATACAGAATCAGTGCATCGCCCAAGTCAGACCCCTTCAGTCTTCCTCCACCGCACAGCCTGCCTGCCTGGGCCCACTGCCCACCCACTGTATGCTGTGGAGAGAGCAAGGCACCAAGGGGCTAAAATCAGTCTCATAACTAAACGCAGCGTCCTCCACAAGCACAGACAGATACACCAAGGGCCTACGTACCTGGAGAGGCTGTGCCTCCACCCCGAACCCTAACCCACACAGTCAGGCGGATTAATCTGCCACCATTTAAGGGAGAAGGGCTGCTCTGAGTCACTAAAGTCTGCTCCGCAGCCCTCATGCTATTTTCCACCTTCCTCCCACACCCCACCCACCTCTCCTGTCTCTGTGCTGCAGACGTGGATGGATGGCGTGAGTCAGCAGGGCCCAAGCGTCCCTCCCTCCCTGCCTCTCTAGTAAGAGTGGTACGTGAGAAACAGAAAATCCAACATGCGGTATCCTTCCAAGGATAAAAAGTCTGAAAGTCTGGGCAGCAACATGTACATCGCAACAACCACTTTGTAGAAATGAGCATTTGAATAAAGTCTGGAAAGAAATGCTCTAAAATAATGACTGTGACAGGGTGGTAGGAGTAAAAACCTTTTCTTTGTTCTCTTTTCCAGTAAAATATATAAGTAATAAACTAAAATTTTTATGACCATAAAAAAAGCAAGTGCAATGTGACAGACGAGTTTTGTAGGTAATAACAGGAGATTAGTAACACCTGTGCTATCAAACACAGTACTGACAGAGACATTAGGGTTTATGGATTACTTAGACTATGTACAGTTTTTATGCTTAAAAGAGTTATAAATAAAAACTGAATTTTCCTTTGAAAAGGCTAGACTAAAGGTAGAGGCAGAGGCTGGGGGCCGTAAAAACATATGACTTCAGTTTATGGTTTCATGTTCAATGCATGTAACATCAAAAGAGACATAAAAAGCCCTAAGCACTGGTAGCCAGCCTCCTGAAATACATATCCTTGTCCAGGCCCCTCCCTCATTAGATCAGGGTTGGTCTGTGTGACCAGTGGAATAGGGCAGAAGGGAGGGGATGTCACTTCTGAGGCGAGGTCATCAAAGACAGCACGGCTTCTGCCTGTCTCCCCCTCTTGCTCTAGGGGAGGCCAGCTACCATGTGGTAGCAGCCCAGTGGAAAGGCCCACACAGTGAGGAGCTAAGGCCTCCAGCCAATGGTCATGTGAATGAGTCATTTTGGAAGTGAGTTTCTGCCTTAGCCAAGCTGTCAGATCACTGCATCTCCCATCAACATCTTGACTGCAATGTGATGAGGGACCCTGAGGCAGAATCACCCAGCTGAGTTGCTCCAGATCCCCGACTCTCAGAAACCATGTAAGATACTAAATACTTTAAGTTGCTGAATTTGGGGGTAATTTTTTACGCAGCAGTAGCTAACTAAGACATAAGATGTAAAATAAACTATGTCAGCTATACAAAATGAATGAAAAAAATCATACTTCACAAAATACAGATCTTAAATTTGTTCTTTAAGGCATAAAAACTGCTAAACTCTTAAACTGAAAGAAGCCACAGTGGCATCTCAATCACTTATGCCCTCAATGCAGGAAAAAAACCCTGCTGCTTAAATAATGGCTTCACCCACAAATAAGACCCTGAATACGCTCAAGAAGAAATAACTTTGAAAAATGGTTTGTCAAACATAGTTTACAAATTTCAGTTATTACCAATACCAAATCTACCCAAATTAGTGAATTAGTTCTCAAGTGGGCCAGAGAATTCTTCATGCAGCTAACTCGTGTCCTTTGGAGAATACACAGTCATGATGTTCAGCATTCAGAGAGGGTTTTTTTGAAAGGGTGACTCTCTTTCCCCTCAGCTTGGAAATCAGAAACTTGCCCACCACCACCCGACAGGTGTGACGTACCTGTGACGAGCTCACGATCCTCCTCTTGTCCTTGCACCAGTCCATGCACAGGACCTTGTTCCCGTGGCCTTTGAGGGTCCTTCTGGTCTTCATGACAAACTGTCCAAGGGCCTCCACCCGCTCTGCCACCTGGTGCACTAAAAGGACAAGGCACACTCAACCCTGTGGCCGAGGACCAGGTTCTGAGCCACAGTGTGACAACAGCGTCCCTTCTCGAGAAATCCTCCCTTCCTTCTCTCCAAACACTTCTGTGTATATTTCCTAAAAACAAGGACCTCTCTTACATAACCACACTATAATGATCAAAGTCAGAGAACTGACACTGAAACAATACTATGTCCAATCTCTAGACTTTATGGAGACACTCTCCATTGTCCCCACAATATCTTATACAGCAAAAGAAATTCCAAGATCACGTGTTACATTCAGTGGTCACTTTCTTCAGTCTTCAGTCATTTCGTTCCCCAGTCTGGGCTTGTCTGATGCTTCCTCAAGATCAGCTTCGGGTAACATACGTTTGGCAGGAAAACCACAGACTAGCACTGAGGTCCTGCCTGCACACTTGTCCTGTCAGGAGGCAGCTGCTGTCCGGCGGTCCTATCATCAGCAATGTTTACTCTGATCATCTGGTTAAGGTGGCATCTTCCAGAGTTCTCCACTGCACAGTTACCATTTTGCCTTTTGCCAAGAACAAGTACTTTGTGGCGATGCACTTGGAGAGAAGCTAAATATCTTGCTACTCATCAAAGCTGAACACCCTACTTTCAACATCCTTTAATGATTCTTGCCTGAACCAAATTATTATGATGTTGGCAAGTGGTGACTTTTCTGATTCCATCATTCCTTCTGCATTTTTAAATTTGCTTTCTAATGTAAAGAGGAGTGTTCCTGCCTCCCTAATGTATTCATTCATTTACATCGGTATGGGCTCACGGATTCTCATTTTAAGAGATCACAATCCTTTCCTATTATTTATTTTGATGTCCGACTCATCCCTGATTTGCTCAGTGGGACCCCATCAGGCAGGCCCTGGAGACCTTCTGACAGGCCCCCACCATCCTGGGCATGTCTTACTGCAGGCTCCTATTCTTTCCTGCCCGCCCCCCACCCCCCGGAAGCAGCCACCCCTCCAAGAAGTCTTGGTTTCTTTCAGTTGCCCCATTTCATTGTGAGGAAAGAACAAAAGAGTGAACAGGTTAAAAAGCTGTAAAAAAACAAAACAAAACAAATTGCTAAACTGTAGAGTGCTACACGAGCGTGCAATTATTACACCATGGCTTCTGCGAAAACACTGAGTTGTTTATAGCCACAAACAGCACATTAGTCTTTTATGGACACATTCTTCACAAAACACACTGAATGAAATTTAAAAACAGACTGAATTTTTCTAGTTTCTTATAGGCCTTTTCCACAAGCCTTTACCAGCTCCAAGCTGCGACCCTATTCCAGATAGTATTTCACTTTGAAACTTGATGTCAGTATTACTGCTGCTCCCCCCAGTTCAGCATTATATTGCTATTTCACGTCTCTCTTACAAAAAAAAGAAAAAGAAAAAAAGATGACTTGCCAACCAAAATAGGGCCTCCTTACACAATGCGAATTTGAACACATCCCAACTATTAATTATTTTTTCTCACTGCATTTTCTTTCCCCATATGCAGATTCACTCCCAACCCACTCTATCCTGCTTCTATCAGCCCAGTCTCACATCTGCTGAATTAAAGAGGTTTTGTTTTTTTTTTTAAAGTTGAAATACCAGGAAATAAAAACAAAAACAAAAAAACTGGAAACAAGCTTAACAGGTTCTGTAAATCATTTGTGGGAGTTCAGATCAGGGTCGATGTGGTTTCTCCTTTGCCTTCTGATGAACTACCCCTTCAGGACTTAACTTTGTCTTTCTTTAAAAAAAAAAA